TTTTGCGTGACCCTGTCGCCATGGAAATCCGTGAGACCGATCCCAGTCCTCCGTCGAGGCTGGTGGGCTGTTTTCCAACATGGCCAACTTTCGTGGGTGCCACCATCTTGAATTCTTAATTCGGCTCCTGATTGGCTGAAATTTGTGGTGGCCATCTTGGATTTGGAAAACAATAGCATCCATTGTTCTTAATTCGGCTCCTGATTGGCTGAAAATAAATAGCACCATCTTGGATGTGGAAAACAATAGCGTACATTGTTCTCCAAACAATAGCCTATTGTCTTTCTCGGTTCCTGATTGGTTACCGTACATATGAGGGACTATTACTACTCAAATTTCTCTACCGTTAGGACAAAATAGCCTTTTGTTCACATATCTGTATGGGATTACAAAATCCAATCTATATGTTAAGAGTTCAAGGGATGAATTTGTTTTTATCTTCAAATGTAATTGAAGTTATCTGTAAAAGAGCCCTTGAAGTATCAATAACGCCCTAATTCACCACCATTTTTACAGTACTAGACCATAACAGGACAGTTACAGTTTGACTACCTTCGGTATAATGTATCAATTACATTACTACAGTTTTAATGTGACAGGGAATGCAAACCTAGAGGTAAAAAGTTTTGAAAAAGTTGATATACCTCAGCCCTAGTCCCCTCTCCATTAGGCAGTCTGGAGGCGGCATCTCTGACCAGTGTGAGTATGGTGACGTATGGCGGTCGTAACGAGATCAACAGCGAGTGTTCACGAGCCTTATTGAGATTGGTATCTTTACTGAAAACACCCTGAAATTACAATTACCAAGAAATGAACATACACAATGGGACATGTTCCAGAGACACCAAGCAGGGACATGCAGCAGAGGTAAAATCACATGTACATACAATCTAACTGGGAAAAGATGCAGTGACAGTGCAATCTGTACATGTCACTGCAACATGTTTCTTGCAACATGTTCCTTTCTACTTTGCCAGCTCAAAAATACTTTGATCTGTCTTAAGTATTTGCTGAACCTCTTCTTACTCACCAGGCAGACTATTCAGTTCTTATCACAGAGTATAACCCGTTGGAAACTTTCTTGTGTTTTTGTATAGTTTGTGGTGATAGGTTATTAACCTAATCACAATATGCCTTTCAATTACTATTTCTCAACTTCCCAACGATATTTACCTTGCCCCGGGTAATCATCAAAACCATCCTATTACATGTACGGGAAATCAGATAGAAGTGCAGCTCAGCCTTCAAACCTATAGTAGTGTACATGCTCAAGGTATCAAATGCCACTCTCACTTTCTTTCTACAACATTCTCAACAGGTTGAAATAATCTTGATCCTGACATTTTTCTAACACACAAGCCACAAACACTCAATGGAAAAAGGCGACTTAAACGTAAAGTATTTTTAGCGGAGCTCCGGCTGCCTGAAGGGCCGCCAAGCAGAGCACCATAACTATAGGAACAGAATCACATGCTTGTATAGAAAACAAAACCATGCAACTCTTTTTGTATGGTCAACATGGCTAGCAGCGTGGATCCTGGGCGCGTACGTTCTACGACAACGACGCCATATGACGACGACGCCGTACTCCAGCTAATACCAAGTCATGCAGTCTTGGTTTACAGCATACATATTTGATATTGGACATCCGTGTTGCGGTCAATTGACAGCTGTCAAAACAGAGTATCCGTTGACTAATATTGCGTGACCATATTCCGGGTTCAGGTTTAGAGCTCATTGAGGTCACATGCTTTTTAAAGTTGACCACTAACCAAGTACTGGTTTTCGATGGCATCGTGGACTCATGTCAGGTTAACTAGTTAATCAGGGCCGGGTTGTTCGGGAGGTACACAAATGTTTTTCACTGCTTTTGTTTTGTGTAGTTTGAGATTACTGAAACTCAAAAACAGAAGGCCAAACAATATAACATATTAGTATGAATCTACTAGCGTTCTATCACGAATGGCGTTCTCTGATTGGCTACGATACTCCCTATCTATTCTGCGATAGATAGTGAGTAGCGTAGCAGTGTACCCTTGTTAACAAAATGACAGCCGCTTCTTGGCATTTTCGAAGTGTCCGTGAAGAGGATTAAGATTAAGTTTTGAACGACTAGTAGATTGATACTAAAATAAATTAGATTATTACCATTATCTAATTACTTAATATAAACAGAAAACCTCACTGCAAAGTTACAAAACTCAAATCAAAACTCTCACTTATCGTGGGTTGGCTTAAGGATGGTGCCTACTAAATACAAAGGTTTTTGTGCCAAGTTAGGACCATGCGCAAAAAGTAGATCTTTGCAAGGGCTATTGGAATCCATAAAGAAAAATTGGGGTAGCCACGCATTTTTCTGAGTAATTAGCCTTGAATCTCAACAAAAATGCTGACATCAGCATTTTTCTGAGCAAGAAGGAAAGGATATTTCTTCACAGATTTACAATTCGCCTTTACATACAGAAAAGCAAACACATTTATAAAGATCTTAAAAAACAAAATGGTAAATGGTAGCAAAAAAACCATTTTTGATATGATTTTAATGACAAAATCGTTCCAACACCGCTTTTAGCGTCTTTTACAGCCTTTCTCTGGTTCAGCTAAAATACAGTCTAAATACCCTTTGCTCACAACCAGAAATTAATCATGCATTGAATAGGCTTGCCACTTCCACTTGATAACATAAAATGTAGGGGTAACCACGCATTTTTTAAAGTTATTGATCGTTTTTGAAAACTTTTACGGTGCCCGTTACATTTTTCCTGTCATCTCCCCTGTAAGTAAAACATTTGCGTATCTCGCACTTGTTTTGCGCGTGCACTACGCCATCTGCAGGTACATGTTTACCGCTGGATTTCAGTTTAACAAATTGAAGTCAGTTTTTTATGCGTCTGTCCTCGTATTGATGATGAATTGCATCATAACATTGTCAAAGTGGCTGTGGAACCACGAGCCGCAGGCAAGTGGTTTTGCAGTAAACTTTGACAATGTTATGATGAAATTTATTATCAATAAGAGGACAGACGCATAAAGAGCTGATGCCAATTTGTTTTTTACAATAACAAAACCCCAAACTGGTCAAATGCCGGGAGTAAATGAGGGGAAAGGACATGTAAACTTGCCGTAAACAAAGATAAGTGAATTTTATTCAAAATGACGCGAACATTGTCAATAGCTTTTATTGGCTACTTAAAAAAGTCCATAAAATCTCATTGGTTAAAAAGTTAACAGTTGACAGCTGAAAGTTGAACTTAAAAGCTTACATTAATTAAAATTTCATCTGTCTGTATTCTTATTGATGATAAAAATGAGCCAATCAGCGCACGAGAAATTAGACAGTTATTGTAAAAAATAGTTTTCGACAGATAACAGCTAGTTTTTCAGCTGGAAGACGTTAACAGTTAGTGGTTAGTGATATGCTGCTATTCTGGTGTTCCTGGTTTAAGGACGTTTGTGCTAATTGTTTCTACGCATCCTTACTGCGCACGCAAATTCACATGCCGTGTCATGCACGAGAGTGCGCGCTAAGTAATAAAATGACCAATGATAGTGCAGATGGCCATTGCTATAGCTTTGCCTGGATTTAACGATCTTGAACGTTTGGTGACCCCTATTTTTCTTTGGATGGATCATTTTCTCTACCGATTTTCTACGTTTCGCGAAAAGATGAAGAAAATCTATGGACTAGAAGTTGAAATTTCTTACAAAATGCGCCATCGAATTTTGTTCTTTTTAGCTCGTCGTTTGTCTGTGCAACGGTTTCAAATGCCTCTTGAAGGGTTAAGTTTTGTGAAAATGTTGGTAACATTTGGAATTATTTATGTAACAGACCCACTTATACAAAATGTGACTAAGATCGTTTGCTTCCGTTGACTCACATTAGATATTTTTAACTATACACCCCTGTAGACAATGTGGAATAAAGTGCGCCAATTTTTCAAAATCAGGGTAATTTTCCACACGCTTCATCTCTGAAACAAAGTCGGCGACCCCAAATTGTTTTTGCATTTCTGGCACAAGCAATTCATTATCTGACTGGAGTAAAAAATTTAAAAAAAAATTCCATCGACTGGAAAATTTTCGCGCGAACGTCCTAAGTACAGGTTCGTTAAATTTGATTTAGGTCACAGTAGGAAAATAGACCAATTTCGATAAACTGAAATTCAGCCTAAAACAATAGACCTCAGTACGAGGCTCTGGGGAATAAATACAGAGTTTGTGGTGTTTATTTCCTTATGGTAAAAAAGGCAAGCGGAATTGCCCGTGGGTGCGTACGCACGGCGACGACAACGCCGATAACGTCGTGCAACATAGCGACCATACTCCAGCTAATATGTTGACTGAGACACACAGCCTTGGTTTACTGTATTACAGCGTACATCTTTGATACTGGATGTCCATATTATGGTCAATTGACACCTGTCAAAACAAGGTATTTGCTGACCCGTATTACGTGACCATATTACGGGCTCAAGTTTAGAACGCATCAAGGTCACGTGTGTTTAAAAGTTGACCGCTGACCAAGTACTGGTTTTTTTTTCGATTGGATTGCAGGCTTACTGGGGTATGCCAGTTTAACTTACTGTAATCAGGGCCGGGTTGTTCGAAGGCCTGTTAACGCTAACCCAGGATTAAAAGTTAACCAACGTATAAACTTTTCTTGTATAAAAATGTTTTTCACCTTTTGTTTTGTGTAGTTTGAGATAATTCAAACTGAGAAGGCCAAACAACATAAACAGAAAACCTCACAGCAAGGTTAAAAAAAAAAATTCAAATTCAAACTCTCGCTTACCCTGTATTAGCTTAATCAGGCTCTTAACAACCCGTTTCTGCTTTATTTGAACAAGAACATGACTGTGACGTACCTTAACAGGGCCAACAACTGACTCAAAGCCATGCATTCGGAAGGTAAATGCTTTGTGTGGATTGGCATATCGTCTGTTTTCCTGTTAGTTTGTTAAACAACATAGTTTAGCATTCGCACTGAAAAATGGAGAGTTATATAATGTCCCCAATTAGTTATCTTAGTTAGTTAGATTTTTTGTTCTTTTTATTTATTTACCGTTATTTGAGTTAAGAAACGCGCAATACCTAAATATAAATATTATTATTATTATTATTATCACTATCATTATCATTATTATCATTATCATTATCATCATCATTATTATTAATAATAATGGTAATAGGACTGAGTGGAGTCCAATTCGGCCTGTAATCATACGAGTGATTAACAAAATTGGACGACTGCGAAGCAGGAGTCCGATTTGTTAATCACGAGTATGATTACAGACTGAATTGGATGACGCGAAGCCCTGTTACCAATTAATCAAAACTATGACAAAATTTGAGAAACGAACAAACCATCGATTGAGCGCTGAACGATTAAACATCGTTCCGAATGCTGAAAAACACAGCAGTTTACTCAACAAAGTGCACCAAAACAGCACGCGCAAAATGACGCGTACTGACTGTCCAATTAATGCTTAAATCGGGCTGCTGAAAGCCAATCACGTTCGAGAATTTTGTTATAGTTTTGATGATGATTATTATTATAATTATAAGCACACGATGGTTTTGAAGCTCATTTTTTTAAAGAATACATGTTTTGGATGAGACATCATCCATTGTCAGTTGTACAATGAGAAATAAAATGAAAATATGCAATAAAAAGTACAACAAAGTGAGATATTAACAGGAATAATTAAGGATGAAGGTGCGAACCAAAAAAAAGGGGTAAAACTATTTGAGCTAAGGAAGGAGACTAATTAGTATGAAAGGGATAAACTAAGATGTTTGACCTGGGAATTTAAAGACGGCTGCTCCCAGAGCATGTGCATGGCTTCCTTGATTTTCAACAGGAAGCTTGTGGAAGCAGAGTCAAGAATTAAAATCGAGTTGGTTTGGGGTCAAGGATCCTATCCCTGCGAATTTACGATCGCGAGTCATTTATAAGTTTGCAGGTGCAGGTTGTAGTACCTGTTATGTTGGTGAAACCAACAGACACTTCGCCACTCGCATCCACGAACATCTCTCCTCTGACACACTCCCACATCTTTAAACACCTGAGAAATTCCAAAAATTGTTGCTCCCTTTGTTCAGAAGATTGTTTTCAAATTCTTGACTCTGCTTCCACAAGCTTCCAGTTGAAAATCAAGGAAGCCATGCACATCCTTTGGGAGCAGCCGTCTTTAAATTCCCAGGTCAAACATCTTAATTTATCCCTTTCATACTAATTAGTCTCCTTTCCTAGCTTAAATAGTTTTACTCTTTTTTTTGGTTTGCACCTTCATCCTTAATTATTCCTGTTAATATCTCACTTTGTTATACTTTTTATTGCATATTTTTTTTTTTTCTCACTATACAACTGATGATGGATGATGCCTTACCCGAAACATGTATTCATTAAAAAATGAACTTCAAAACACATTGTGTGGTTCATCAAAGCCAAATCTTACTTCGTGCTGATATGAAGCCTTATTATTATTATTTTTAGTAAGACGACTATCTGCTATTTACTTTACCGACAAAAAAAAAAAACTAATTTCATATCATTGTGGCCACACTGCCATTATCATTGTCGTCTTCTTCTTCATTGCCCTCCTCCTCCTCATCATCATCATTGCATGACAGTGAGTTAATAGCTCTACAACAATCGCATCTCTAAACCTCAGTAATATTCTCATGTTTGCAATCTTATCATAGCTCAACCCTGAACATTTCATTCTTAACAATTACATTATGAGCTTGAGATTTCTATGAGGTGATAGTTGATGAGGCTGAAGGCCGAATCAACTATCACCTCATAGAAATCGAGAGCGAACAATCTAATTGTTTTAGTAGAATTCTTACTAAAATTTACTTCAAATAACGATTTCCAGTTTTTTCTTGATGTATTATTAAACTTTGTGCCTGAAAAAGATCGCTTGGATCGAATTGTCATTTAAAATTGAAGTTGTGTGCGTGCACGCGCATCAGTATTTTCAACAATTTCAACTTTTTTAAAAGTCAAGAAACCGTAAATGTCTTTCATTTAGACTTCTCAGGAAATTAATAACCCATTTGCATCAAAATTTTCCTCCAAAACTTCGGAAAAACGAAAAAATCGTTGTCATTTCCTAGACGACCTCCAGCCACTGCACACCAATGGCTGATAGTGGTCAATGGCTCAGCCAATCAGATTACAGCATTTGCATTAGTATACTAGTAGAATTCTACTAATGCTCAATAGTGTATGAAAGCTCAGCCAATCAGATGGCAGCATTTATACTAGTATACCAGTAGAATTCTATCAATTGTTATCAGAAATGAACTCCACCACTGGCCCCAGTTGTTCGAAGGCTGGATAACGCTATCACTGGATAAATCGCTATCCAGCGAAAAAATGTGAACAAAACAAACCACGTTATCCACTGGATAGTGATTCATCCGGTGGATAGTGTTATCTACCTTTCAAACAACCTGAGCTACCTGTTTTAACCTGCCATTATGAGCGTACAGTGTCTGTAGGTTGTCTTTTCTCCAAAGTTTGGGAGGAAGATCCAGAAATATTACTGGATAACTCAATTCCAAGATGACTGAAAGAATCACATCTAACAAAGAGACAGGAAAAAACAGTTTCTTACCTGGTCCCTGAAAGCTGCTCTTTCATCTTCTGTGCTTGGCCTTACAACAAAATCTGTTTTACTGAAAGAACAAGTACACTGCAGTTTAAAACCAATAACACGTAGTACATGTAAACTGCTGGCTCTGGTTGTTTGAAGGCTGGATAACGCTATCCATCGGATAAATCATTATCCAGCTGACAGCATGGTTTGTTTTGTTAACACTGATCCACTGGATAGTGATATATCCGGTGGATAGCACTATCCAGCCTTCGAACAACTGGAGACTGGTTTTTAACCTCTTGCATGTTCCCAACAAAAACAGCAGCCACACACACAAAAACACGTTTAGTAGGTTTCAGCTTATAATAAATGCCTTTACTGTGTTTTTATCTTTATAAATGTCAAAAACCAAGTTGTTGTGTGTAAAACTTTAATACATATTTCTTACTTACATGCGTGGGACTGGTGTGGAGGAGGAGTCAGCTTCAGCAACAACACCCTGTAACAAATCACAAACAACTCATCATGGGAATCACACAATCTGGACTGAAATCGGTGGGACACCACCAAATTTTGGTCAATTAGTCACTTGAAAAACACAATCTTTATATCTTAATAATCTTTATACAATCTTTTCATGGTATTTGATTTCTTGATTTTAAAACCACTTCTTTAAATAATTATAAATCCATTGCTTTGTCTGCTTCATCTTATGGATCATGTTTTCGCTCAGAGTACAGAATATTTTTTTTCTCCACTCACCACCCCATCATACCCCTAAAAGTTATCAACTTATTTGAATCCTTTGGCTGTGGCCGTACTAAGAGAGTTAACTGGGTTTATGTTTTAGAAACCTGGTTAAAATTTATAAAAAACTTAACTCCGTTAAAGGTTGGTTATAATGAAATAACAGGGTTATATTTTATGAGCGGCCGCACTGAAATAGGTTATGAAGTGGGTTTACTCAATTGACGTCATGAGATAAACCAACAAAATGACAGACTTCAAGGACCATGTTCTTATATTCTTGTTTATTTTTCTTTGTTTTCGTTTCCATTCTCTACACTCACGGCTAAGGCAGTCCCTCTTCCTTTGAATTCTAATGCGCACTACGCAAATTTCCAAGGCAGTTCTTTCAAACACGATGTTAATTTTGTGCAGACATCAGAGTGTTTTTCACTGCCATCGAATGAATGATGGTTTGAGGAAATCACAGGAAGTCTGCCATGCATGGCTTTTATCACAGAGAGAACTTTGCAATGAGCGTGGGCTCCTTTCAAGCCCTTTGATGTATTTTGTCACCATTTATGGCACTCGCTTCCATGCAGTGTTAAGTTCCAGGTTGACTGATCCGGAAAAGGTGATGCATATTGGGAAGGACACCAGCACCCGCTGGAGTAATTTAACTGTTGCTACAATTGTTATGAATGTTGTTACCAGACACCATATTCAGAAGCTTATGCAGGTGTATTTGTGGTGAACAACATTTCACACGCAGACCATGATGATTGACACATTTTGTGAAAGCGCTGATCAGACTGCTGATGAGAGACCACTAACCTGGGATGTACCACGCAGAAAGGTAGTTTAAAATTAACCTTACCCAGTTAGGAAATCTATTGTTCTTCAATTAATTTCCATGGCAACCGTTACCACAGTCTTAGTTCAACGAACAGCCGAAATTAGCGGCTGCAGGATGTTACCAAAATGAGGAATGGGGAATGGGGAGTGGGGAATTGAAATGGGAAATTGAAGTAATGATCCAGTTTTAAATAAAACTGATTGTATACATGGCTTAACAAATTTAAATAAGACAAATTCATGCATCACATTAATGTATGGTAAACAATGTTAATTAAAATAAATAGCAAAAAAATCGTCGTCTAAATCTCCAAATATACTAAGCTTACTTTTCAAACAATGTGATTATGATTTCTAAGTACAGTAAACAAATGCAAATCAACTCTAATATGGTAATTTATTTCACTTTTGAATATCCAACTTGGACAAAGAGAAAAGGTCACAGTTCATACTCAAACTGAGGCAAAGAAGCGTACTTACTCACAAGGGTAAAAATATATTCCGCAAATCGACAGCTTTACAGTCAACTGATCANGTCATTGGTAGGGAAATAACCACCGTACTAAAGGTAGCCGTGGATAACGCAATTCTTGAATTATGTGACTTGTGTGACTTCTTTGCTGTGGGAAAAAACCAATTAAATTTAATCGTGACTTTTCAGGAAAAAAGCTGTTGTTAATAGTGTTCATATCTTCATGCCCACACATATCCCAAAGAAAGTTCCAGATTAAAACTATTATGTCATCGGAGATTTCACAACGGCTACGACTCATGGTGCAATAATACAGTTTGTGTTGATCAAGTAATGTGGTGTCTACAGTAATCAATGAATCATCAAGGATTGCTTTGGAATGTGCAATGCATTGCGACTGTAGTGCTAAGAAAACAGTTAAATTTTAAAAGTGCAGTTACGAGATCTAACAGATCTTCTTGTTTCTCTTTTTTTTGGTACACGAGCTTGTCCTGTTGGTGATCTTCAAGTTTATTAGCTCATTTGTTGAGACAGAGCGTTCAGCATAGCCTTGCCGTCGCAGTGGAATACCTTCTGAAAAACATTACTATAATTATTGTAAACCTACTTGTCAATTTTCAGAATTGAAAACTTTTTAGCTTTTTAGTATTGTAAAGTAGTATTGTAAAGTAATATTGTAATGTAGGTGAAGTGACTCAAATCGTGTGGGCAAAATGACTTTGATCGTGTAGGTGAATCGACTTCGATGTAGGTGAATCGACTTGTTGGCAAAATGACTTTTAGGTGAAACGACTGGTTACCATAAAAAGTTAACGTAAAAGAAAAATTCAATTTTCCATTTTCAATTCCCTATTCCCCATTCCACCTTCCCCATTTTAGTAACATCCGCAGCCGCATCACAATGTTTTGATAACCCAATTAGCTGTAATTGATTAATTAGAAATAACCTGGGTAACTCTCATAGTGCGGCCGCAGCTATTCTATAGTAAATGAAGATTATGGGAATATTACACGGCGGTGCGAATGTTATTTTCATGTGGTCAAAAAAAAATTTTACAAATGAGTGTAGCGAGTGAGTAAAATATTGTTTTTAAGAAAAAAAAAGAAAATAAAATTTCTATCACCAAGCCACTGTGTAATTTTCTTTTTTACATATAGACAAACTGACTGTGAAAAGCGGGAAATGACATCATCAATATCCCACTTGTGAGGATATGGAAACACGCCACTCGAGTCCAGGATGTAGTTTTGTATGAATTTTACCAGTCGTGGTGTATTCACTAGCCTCCTACAAGGCCTGACTACTTACTAAGTTAAAACTTTGACTGGAGCCAACCCACAAAAGAATTTGAGGAACTTTGATCTAAAATTTAATGGTATAAAACAAAATCTGCTGTAGATAATTCATGCATTGAAATACAAACTTTGTTCTGGATACAAATTAGTTCCACCCAAACAATGAAAACCAATCAGATGGCAGAACTGAAACAATAGATTCCAACATTTTCAAATCCAGCCGATCAAATGTCCTATTTTTAAATCCAGCCAATCAAATGTCCAGTACAAAACAATGAAATCTCAACTTGTTCGTTGTGATGCTTACGCGACTTCAGTGTTGCTTATCGATTAATTGCCATGCTCAAACTGTTAGTACTTTTGCCTGCATGAATTGAAGGATATGCTGCACTTTCTATGGGGTAGTTGGCTGGTTTAGAAAATACATGAAAAGAAAAGCTGCGTAAGAGTGTCACTCATAAATATACATCACCAGAGTGTGTGGTGTAGGGTCTGAATATTGTTGCCGCTGTTTAAAAGAAACCCTTCAAATGGTCTCTGAGTAGGGAAGGTTCCTACGACACCGTCTTTGATATATAGTACAACGCGGTAAAAAAATTCATTTGAATTTCAATACACTGATAACCCAGAAAGGGAGGTCAAACTCTGAAATGTACAGCTGCGGAGACAGTGAACGCGATAGTTTCTTTGAGAACTGGTTGGTGGATTTCACGGTTGGCTGCATTAATGTCAACTGAAAGCTGTGTAAAAATAGAAACACGCAGAGACAACAGGAACGAAATTTATTTTACAAAAAAGTGTCAAAATCTATTATTCTATGATTTTAAAAAGATGATATTTTGTGTGGCTGTACCTTCACACTGGAAAACGGTCAATCTACTGAATTTATCACGGTTGTAAATGTAAAATCTGAAGTAAAGCACCATAGTCACGAGCATCGCAACGAACAAGTTGAAATTTCACTGTTTTGTACCTGGTATTTCATTGGCTGGATTTGAAAATGTTGGAATCTATTGTTTCAGTTCTGCCACATGATTGGTTTTCATTGTCTGGGTGGCCCAGGTTTCAGTAAACATGGTGTAAAGCTCCCTAACTAGACTTCACAGTTAATTTAGACTGAGGTGCACAGAGGTGGAAGAAGTTCACACTAAACAGCTCTCTCAGTAAGTGAACAGCTTACCTTCTTGCTTGTAAGTTGTCCTTTGATTTGTAGCCAGTTATCACATAATGACATTAATTGTTCATCCGAGTCTCTGTTGGAACCTAAAAAAACCCAATATATTTATTTACATTTAAACAAGTTTTTACCTTTTCTAATTAAAAAATTACTTTTACTGTAGTAGGATTTTTTAAAAAAATTTAAAAACAATCTCAGGCTGAAACGATAAAAAAAATTACAAGCTTTGGACTGCCTGAACTACCGTCTTTGACGGGTAAAATGTGAACGACAAGAAGTGAGGAAAAAGGAAATATCTGAATAAAAATGTGTGAAATTGCAAAATAACAGAAATGCAAATAATTATGAATGTTTGTTAAAAATAACGCTATAATGTCCAGGTAGTGGACATGAATTGTTGTCCGCATTGGGAGTCAGTTTGGTATGCCACGCTTCCAGTGTCTTTCTTGTTCAAAAACCACCTTTATCAATGATAGTGGTGAAGCGTTTTCACAGTCAATAGCGCAATCATGTGACAAGGCATGCTTTGCAATCCTCGAGCCTTTGGCCGCTGTCCTGACTTTTCTGAAATGTTCTTTTTTTCTGGTGTTGAAAGCTCTGCCCATCTCTCCAGTGTAGCACCACGAACAGTTGGCACAAGGAGTTTTGCACACGACCTTTGTCTGTGATTCCAGCGAAGGCGTAAACTTTGGTGCGTGAACTGTTGTCGTAGGATGATCAATGGTTCGATCTGTAACGACTGTAATGTCATGCTTTTTGAGGACGTGTGTCAAAGGTTCAGTTACACCACAGGGGACCCGAACACTTTATCAGCGATAAAAATAAATGTACTGTTATTTACCTGTGTTCCTGTGTCTTTTTGAGTCAATTAGGAGGGATTTGATTGAAGCAAAGGCAGTTTACATTTCTGAATATTATCTCGTCTGCCGCTTTGTAATTATGACGCTCTGATTACGCCTTTAATAAGTTTCTATTGTCGTCATTAACTATTAACTCTCATCAGGGAAAGAGATTCTCACGTTTCATAATGGCTGCGCGTTAAAAGAGAAAAGAGACAAGGGGTAAAACTTGCCTTAATTTTTATTTCACACGTGAATGACGTCACAATTCAAATAATACAAGGGGTTAAAGGTCCTCATCTTCGCCATTTTCTTGGAAGTTACTGCATTCATTTTCACAAGTGCAATTGGCAGCGCAGGAGAGTCAAACTCGCCGACAAGAACATCTCGCATTGCATCCCATCTTACACATGCACACAATCAGTTCCAAGAGACCTTCTGGAGCTGGATCTTTCTCCATCAATTTGGGAACAAGGTGTCTCATCTCATCCTTGGTCCACCCATTTCCATCTGGTGATGTTAGTGAAAGCCTCCTGTCTCAGGCATGTTTCCAAATGAAGCATTGATAGTTGGCTCTTTTGAATACAATGCACTAGCTTCAGTAGGCGGACGTTTGCTGCTCTCCAGGTGTTTCTTCTTAAAAGGTTTGTAGCTGAGGTGGTTCAAATTTGTAGTAGCTTCTCCATATAGAAGACTGATAAATTTGAAACAAACGGTCAAAGTTTCATTGCTTATGACTGTCCAGTCTGTACCCAGGTTCTTCAGTCCAACAAGGTCATCTTTATGTTTCTTCAGTGTAGTGAACCCTCCCTTTTTGCCTATGCTGTTTAGGTTACTCATGGAATTGCATCCTGTCTAAGCATGCCTGGCTGGTAAAAGATTGCACACATCTGGACCCACATTTTCAATGGCCTCATGCACGGGAATGAAGCTTCTGTTTCTTCCAGTACCTGTGTGGAACCAAAGCTCTTGAATGAACAGTTGGCTGAAGTGATACCAACCTAAAACCGCTACATCTGTGCCTAGAGAAAAAACGGAGATCATCTTGGAAGAATTGTTGATATTCACAGTGCACAAATATCCTACTGTCTGCTTCCTTGTGGTCGAAATAGAGAGGAATTACATCTTTTCTGTTTTAATGTCTTGGTCACTTTCACTGCCGACCCATCTTGTGTTGAAAGGTTCTCACGCCAATCAGAAAGTAGAAACGTCAACAAATTAGATTTGTTTTTTTCCACTGGACAAATAATGCTTGAGACTGGCAGGTAACTTCGTTTCTCTCCTCTGAATCTTTATTTCTATGGCCATCCACTGAGATCGTCTGGATCTTTCTCCCGACCTAATCGAGTCTTCTACATTATATCGGTCTTGGACAATATGGACTTGACTGGCAAACTGGAATTTAGCAATAATAGTTGCTGTAATTGTGTCAGCTCTCCGAATGTTTTCATCTTTCCTTTTGACAAAATCTGAATTACTGCCAGAAGGTCAACTATGTATGCTGTTTTATGAAGTGTGCAAGCAGGAAGTGTGCTCTTGGCAAGACTGTTCATTTCCAATTCAATCCTTGTGACTTCTCTCTCTCCTCTGCACGCTGCTGAAAGAAGTTTTCCTTGACTTGTTTGATAAAGGTGGGTACTGGCGTCTTACTGGTGCACACAAGCTCATACAATTTTGTCTCATGTTCTGACCTTGCCAATGTTCTGCGCAGGGAGTATCAGATTTTTTGGATCTAGTGCGAACCCCCCTTGGTAAAAGGCCATACTCATCACGTATACACTTTCGTTCCCATCAAGGGTATCCTGCAAGTAGTCTGCATTGTCTGCAGCACTTTGCACAAATGTGCCACTAGCAATGTTCAAAGGAAACATTGCTTGATAATATCCATCTTCTTCTTCAAATTGATTCAAACTCATTTCTGCTCATTTTGCGTCCACCTGTGTACATTCCCAGTACTTTATACAGTGGCCGTAACGGTTTACCAAAGTGATTATTTCCTTTCCCCACACCACGGTTTTCATAGCCAGCCCAAGGTCTACGTACATTTCTGGGCATTTTCTTCCTGCCCCCTGAATTACAAGATACAATATCTTGGCCAATAGCTAAAATACTCCTTTTCTTGTTCTTCTTTAGAACACTTTCATCCAAATCTTTGTGGTTGTCAATGGGCAGTCCCTCTAGCTCCTTCAAATGCTCTCTGACATTGCAACAACCATCTTAAAAATTGCTGCAGCCTTGCAGGTAAAACTTCTGTAGCCTTCTCTATACTTTAGTCAGATACATTCAGTGGCTGTGTTTCAAGATTTCAGTTCAGATTTATTTCTCTCATGCTGTTGATGGAATTGTATCCTTTTGAGGCAGTGTTGAATTAATCTTCTGTTTAAGTTTTGAAATTTATTCGTGTCAACCACAGCTTTCTCCATTCCAGAATCAGTAAGGTGACGTTTGTACATACCTGACAGCATCGCCATGTCGTAGGCTCTTTCCTCTTTAACCAGCTTTTGCTCAGTTCTGTTGATCAGTTTCAGAAATGTGATGTCATACTCAGCCTGGATACTTTTGTCAACCCTAATAGACTTAGATGATGATGCGGCAGCTCTATATCTTCGATAACAACCTCTGTGGTACTGGCTTCCATAACTACCAGATCCTCGCCACGAATCCTCATCATCATCACGTCTCGTCATTTTGGCATTTAGCGGCGTTCATCAATGTGTCATAGATTTGCAAATTAACAACCTGCGTCAGATCCCTCTCTCCTTTACACTTAACCTGCTGGCACACCATACACAGGTTTGAGTTTGAATTCGTAGCTATGACTGAACTTCGTAGCATGACAGATGTTGAACGTTGTAAGACCAAAGCATCCTGTTGTGTGCTAGCATGGTATTTAACATTCTCACTACTAGTGTAGGTGCTGTGGCACGATTTAATTCCACTTAACATTTTCTAGTAAGAATGTGTTATTTTTGAGGTCAGGTGAAACACGTCTGAAAATGTCATCATTCCTTAGTTTGGAACATTCTATGAATTTATTAACAGATGACTCCATCCCATTTTGAAGTTTATCGTTTTTCTCGACTGTTTGACATTTGATGCATTTGTCATAGTTGGAACTTAGTCTTGGTCTTTTAGAACTTAACTTGATTCCTGGACTAGTTTGACTGGATGCCATCTCTTATTTGCCACAGGAAAAAGATAATTGTTTAGATCTTAAGTTTTAAATGTTTCATTAAACAATCACTTTTGGCCACAAAAGAAGGGGGATGGGGAATTAAAATATAGAAACCTACCATTTTATTCTATTTCTTTTCCATGTCTAAATCCTACAAGTGTTTCCCTTTGGCAGGATTTGACACGTGGCAACAGGCCTAACTTTGCTAACATCAACTGACTTAAACTGAGGATTTTTTCATCCACCCCTTTTGTTTCAAGTCAAAAAAATATGCTCAGTGATTTCTAAGTGAAAAAAATGTGACCTTTCGATTTTCAATTTTTCGATTTTCAATTTGAAAAGCTTGTAATTACGAAATGAATGGCGCTTTTTTGCACCTCTATTTCATTGAAGAATTTGTTGGGTCGCAGTTTGTGCTGCTGTTAAGCTCGAACAGGTTGTGCTAGTAAACATAGCATATTATGCTTTTAGCAGTGCTCATTTTTTGTCTAAATTATGCTCAAATTATGCCCGTTTTTCAAAATTATGCCACCTGTTTTTCAAACTATTCCGATTGCAAAATAAGCAAACTAAGTGAAAAAATGCAACACTTTTTTATTTATCATTATTCATGGAAGCACTTCTTAGCCCTTTTAGCCATCTTTTTGCCCAGGACAGCTCCTTTGTACTAGTCATTTTTTTTTGTTTTCTTTAGCACAACGAAAGTTACCTAATAATATTATATTGTACCATATAAAAGACTATGTGCACTATATAAATATGTACATCTGTATGTCCGCTATTTTCCAACATGGCCTATGAGAGGTAATGGGACTGATCATACCATCTACACCTACTTCTGGTTCTGGTAAACTTGTGCTGACTGCCACTTAATGGTCTCCCAGGGGTTCCTGTGAACTGCAAATGTGGCTAAAAAAATGATATGCATATGTTTTGGAGTCAATGGGTCTACAAAAAAGATTTCAGGCTTGCCAAAATGTGTTGATTATGCTAGCAGTGCTACTTTTTAAAAATCAGCAAATTTATGCCAGTTTTTCCAAAATCAATTATGCCAAAAATAATGCTAAGCACAATATATTTGAACCTAGCCACCATCAAATCTGCTTTGAACTGGTTTCTTTTTTTTTTCTTGCAGGTGAAATTGACAAGCTTTTATTTATGGACATTTATTTCATTCTAATTCATTGAGACCTCCTTTACCTTGACTAATTATCTTTATTTTTGTTTAACGAAATAAAACAGATTCTATTTTGTCATTTTTGAAAGTGTTTGCAATTATGAAGTGTGTACAGAGAGCACTTCAGACAGTCCTTTGTTAATGACTGAAATCATTCCCCAGTATTATTCGTTTAAAATTAAACTAGTTGTATCGGATTCTATATTATTTGCTTTTATATCTATTTATTACAAACAAGTATAGTGGTTTTCTTCGCAAGGCAGATGTGTTTTTTGTACTTCTTTTATAACTACTTTCACCCTCTTTTTTGAAACTCAGTTTTGAGATGTGATCCAATGGGCTGATTCAAACAATTTTAGTATTGACAGAAAAGGCAAATTATGAGGTAAACGATAAAACTATAAAAGGAGTTAACTTTTTTTGCGACAACTTGTCTTGTAGGACAAAATAATAACCACCATGTTCCCAGAATCAGACAAACTGCAAGTACTAAGCGTACTCTGAGAGAACATGATATTGAAAGGTATTATGCGAAATTTACTCCGAGAGAACATGATACCAAAAGGTATTATGAGAAAGTACGTAATAGGAATGGATAGACGGGAAAATGAAAGTGGAACAACAATAATATTGTGTTTTAATCCCTTATTTTTAATAATTAAATTTTTTCAATATGTATCTTTTCTTCAAAAATATAATACACGTGTAAAATATGTAAGTTAGTCTTAATGCCATAGCATCACAGAAAAAATATTTCCTTAATAGGGTTGCTATGCAAATACACAATTTGGCAATTAATATACAAAAAATGAAAGGGAAGCTACCACTTTCTCTTTATACTGCCTTAATTTGGTGAATATTCAGTCAAACATTGAAGCCGGCCCCTTTAAAAATTAAACACAGTGAGCTGCTTCATTAAGTGCAATTTCTGGGAGGCCATCCCTAAGGAAATAATTTATTATTAATTTTCACATGTGCATTTCAATTTTACACCTCTCACACCTCCTAGACAACTCTCACAATGTGAGCACATGAGGAAAGCCGCTATCTACAAAAAATGTTTGATTCTTAGCATAGTCTCTATGCAACTAGTGGTACAGAGTTACCCCTGGCCCCCACATTAACATTATAAATGCTTTCACAGATGTACATGTAGGGTAGCTTTTAAACCCTCTCACTAAACTGCCCACTCGAGTGTTTCCACTGCCACCCTAGCAATAACTACTAATGTCCAAGGAATAATTCTAGTGAAGTTAAAATTTGCCAACTTTCCAAGCAAATGGTAGGGCCATAGTCTGTCATGGGCACCCCAACGATTATGGGGGAGAACTTCAGTCAGTACTGAATAGCATCCCCAATGAATTCAAACAAGTCTACTTTTTATGCACCGGTTTAAACAGCGCAATATTCATTCAGCAGTGATCGCCTGTTCAAATGAACACTAAACAGGAACAACAGAACATACATTCCTACCTATCCACTTCCACTGCTGAGGTCTTTCTTTGAAATCCACCAATGGAACAAAGGAAGCTGGAGCATCTAGATAGTGATGCAAATATTGTAAACAAAGATTCCTCTATAAAACAGAAAATACTCTTTCATAAAACAGCAAAAAGTCATCTGAATCTTAGCAGCACTTTTGAATAAGATACATTTTAACTTCACATACCAAAGGATGTCTGTCATGTATAGAAGGACAAATACATGGATTTCCCATCCAGATGTGGACATTGTGAAGTAATAAATCAAACATGAGATATCGTGTATTACCAGATTTCCAAACACCAAGAAGAAAGTTAAAAGAAGACACCCAGAGGGATATTTTTACAAACTGTGAAGTGTTTGGAGCTGCAAAGAAACATTGTCTCATATGTTTACAATATCCTCCTAGACAAAACTAAACAGTAAATGGAGAAATCAAATCGTAAAAAAACCTTTGCCAATTAAAAACCAGGAGAACAGAAACCAAGGTTATAGCCATTTTTCTCATTTAAACTAGGTAAATTATAAATAGGTTTAAGAAATGTCCTAGATTAACAACACCTGCTGAACTGCCAGAGAGAAACATGAGAGCAGAATCAACCAGTTTGACCCAGTCTCCCTCCTGTGCTCTCCACACACTTGTCACAAATAATGGAGAGAGCTGCAAACATGAGAAAATATGAGTCATAAGTGTACTGTTTGATACCATCATCATTTGAGATCATTCACCGCAACTTATGAATCATAAGGGCAGTTTTGAATAGGGTAAGTCCCGTCGGTAGTGGCTGCTTCTGCTGCTGCAAAGAAGTCTACTTTTAACATGGACGCAGCGTGGCCGAGTGGTCAGCGCGTTGGACTCACAATCTGGTGGTCCTGGGTTTGTGTCCCACTCTGACCACTACCTGGATTTGTTTCAAGGGTAGTCGTGAGTTAAAATCCTTGGCCATGTTTGTAAATAACCAACTGGTTTGCCTCCAGCCAGTTGGGATTCTTGGGAGGCGCGGTGGCCTAATGGTTAGTGCACTTGTCTCTGGATCGAGCAGTCCGGATTCGAGCCCTGGCTGGGGACATTGTGTTGTGTACTTGGGCAGGACACTTTGCTCTCACAGTGCCTCTCTCTAGCCAGGTGTATAAATGGGTCTGGTGAACTTAATGCTAGGGGTAACCCTGCGATGGACTGGCATCCCATCCAGGGAGGAGTAAAAATACTCCTAGTCGCTTCATGCTACGGAAACCGGGATAAGCTCCAGCCTGATGGGCCACTTGGCTCGTATACAGACTTACCTAGTTGGGATTCTTAACAACGTTATGTTAAATTTGAATTATTTGTTCGTATACAGACCCCAACTCCCCTACCCCCCTGAGAATGGTATCTTGCCAATGCCCTACAGAAGTACAATGCAGCAAAGCTATTTCACTTCTTAAGAAATGGCAAGCGTGCAGCTTGCAGCTATCGAGTTATGGATGCATGCGGGAGGTTGCTAAGTACGAAAGAAGTGTCCTAATGCAGACTTGAGCCAGGTTTCATGGATGGTTCACCATGGGTCTTGCGACACTGATTTGGCCGCCCCGCAGCAAGGGCGAAAATGAATGACATCATGGCCAAACCATGTGCTGCACATTTTGTGTCCACCTGCTAACATCATTCTTGTTCTTTTTTGTGACTTCTTTCATCGTTTTCAACGTTTTGGAGTTTTCTTGGAACTGGTTTTTCACTCTGATTGCATTCTACAAAAAAGTGAATGCAGTTCCAATGCAGACTAGAGTGATATTTTTTGGCCGTGCGACAACAAATTACATCATCGCAAAGCACGTGTATACAAGATGATTTGCTTTCTGGAGGATGTCTGGAAAGCTAAGACCTAAGACCTAAGACCCGGAAAACTAAGACCTGGAAAACTAAGACCTGGAAAACTAATAGGACCCGGAAAACTAAGACCCTGGGTTTTTTTAGGGGAAATCATCAAATTTCAGCTTCCTTTACCTTTAAGTGGTAAAATGAATAAAAATAATAAATGCACTCACACTTGCCTTACAATTAACACTTTAGTTGTGTTTTTCTTTCCTGGTATGGCTAGCCTCTTCCAGGTGTTCAGTTTATAGTTGGGGCGCAGCGCAAATAGTGCGCAAAAAAAATAAGAAAAAAGGTGCGGCGAGAAGAGGCTATGGTATGCCAAACAAAATGTTTCCAGGTGTTGCCGTTTGCCGTTAGTTTGTGAAAAAACAAAATGAAGTGAAGCAGTGCTTTGTCTACTTTACAAAACGGAAGCTTCCGAAAAGGTGTATTTGCGTTTTTTGTTTTCTTACCTCCATATTATTACTAGAACATATTACTTTGAGGCTACAACAAAAAAAGGCTTAAAACACGCGCTTGGGAGTCGTGCAGGCCTGTCAACCCCATTTTACGCCATTTTACACTGCGTGCTTCTGGGTTACATAACTTTTTACGCATCTCTAGACTTACATTTATGGCCGGCTGAGTATTATAAAACCATGAATAAAACCAATAATTTCCGCCGGCAAAGAATATCACTTATCTGATGGCCTTGCTGCCATTCCCGACAGATGCCATAAAAGGGGCAATTTATGATTTTGCGTATAACATTGCAAAGCCAGTTGTGTCCAAATGCCCATCAAATTATCATGAATATTCTATTTCTACCAGTTTAGTATTGTTTACTGAGGGAAACTTTGAGCAACCATAACTGGGTCACAATTTGCCGAGGCTGTGGAGTGAGTGAGTGTACAACAAAAGAAAGAAAAAACACTTAAAAAAATGGTAGCTGCTGCTATTTAAATACCTAACCATGAAAAGAAAAACATTGGCACCAAGGCAACACGTGCTTCTGCCGACAAAATCATCAGCCTGGAAATTGGGAAAGTTATCAGGACGATATGAAAGAATATTTGTTTGTAAGTAGCTTCAAAGTAATACGTTCTAGTAATAATATGGAGGTAACAAAACAAAAAACGCAAAGCACCTTTTCGGAAACTACTGTATTGCAAAGAGTAGACAAAGCAGTCTGCTTTGCTTCATTTTGTTTTTTTGCAAACTTGACAATGTAGTACACAGTGTAATGCCATAATGCGTTAAACCGGAAATAGTTTTGTTTGCCATACCGTAGCCTCTTCTCGCCGCACTTTTCTATTTTTTTTTTTGCGAGCCATTTTTTGCGCTGTGCCCCAACTATAAACTGAACGCCTGGAAGAGGCTAGCCATACCAGGAAAGAAAAACACAACTAAAGTGTTAATTGTAAGACAAGTGTGAGTGCATTTATTATTTTTATTCATTTTGCCAATTAAAGGTAAAGGAAGCTGAAATTTGATGATTTCCCCTAAAAAAACCCATTCTGGGTCTTAGTTTTCTGGGTCTTAGGTCTTAGGTCTTAGGTTTCCAGACATCTGCTTTCTAGGTCGTTTGCGATCACTTGTTTGTTGTTTTGATTCTGGACTGTGAGTGGCCTCTTTTGGATAAATGGATAAACTGGCACGAGAGTGCAAATGCTAGCTGATATTTGTGCTTCCAGCTTAAACTACTAGATGTAACACAAGTGTACTTTTGAAAATTAGCCTTTATGCTTAAAATTACCAGGAAAAGTAAAAATGAGATTTTAGCACAAATTTTGAATGCAAATGTCCTATTAAACTTGTGACTTCCCGAAGCAGGAGCCGTCATGCAACATGTCAACAATAAAGCATGGAAATCAAAATGCAGTCAAACCTCTATTAAGTGGCCCCTTATTAAACGGGCAACTTTTATTTGGCAGCCAGCGGCCAAAATCCCGAAAAAATTGTCAGCTATACAATGTAATAAATTCAACAGCCACCTCTATTGAGCGGCTGCAGTCAGCTTCTTGCTGTCCCAAGGGTGATTTTGTTTTGTTTTATACAAGTTGTCTGGTCCAGAGTGGCTGCTTTTAAAATAGAGGTTCGACCGTAATCTACAGAAAAATAGTGGACATTGCCATGTTACATCTGTCTGTAAAACTTCAGCTGTTCACAAAGATAATGATTTCAGCAACAGACAGCTATTCAAGTTATATCACAGGCATAGAAGATGAACGCACTCATAATCTTTGAATACTACTAGTCTTACTATTTTTCAGTGCCGAAAAGTTTTCAAGGTTTTAGTTTGAACTTCATCAATTAAATTGCGAGAACTTTAGGATGGGCAGTTGACAAATTGTTGAATGGTTCAAGGGCTAATTCACACGGGCAGTTTATTTTTGGAAAGCAAAGCTTCAGTTTGTTTCAAGGAAACCGAAGGTGTAATTTCTCACATTTTCTAGACATGATCAAAACTGGACTGTTCTTTACTTTTTTTTCCTAAAAGTGAACTGCTAACCATGAAAATCGTGAGTTGAATATACGATTTAGACTGAATGAATTTACACGATATGAACAGTCTACTTCAGGTGGTGTGAATTTTTTAATTATTTTTATTCCTTAAATTTCTATTTCTATTTTCCTTGTGAACCCTCGTGTGTCAGTGCGTGACTTGGTTTAAATGGACCAATCAGAGTTAAGGATGAAACCAGCTACTTGACCTTTGCATAATGGCCGTTGGCGCGGACCTGCTCACAAGCACATCAGGAAAGCCGAAGAGCAAAATTTTTAGTTCTTCATGAGTCCTTTGACCACCGAAGCACACGTATGTAGAGTGAAATTTACTGGTTTTATTGCGATTCCGGACTTTTCCTTTTGAAGAGAGGGCGATTTGTGGAGTGACGTCTCGCCAGCGATCGATTGGGGTGGTCTGCCTTTCCATTCTTTTAGAAGGAGAAACAATGGTTTCGAATAACTTCACTAAATGGCGTCAGAATGGCTTTAAAATCGGCACAAGAGACAAGTACGCAACACGTTTGAGGTAGGGAAACTTTATTTCAAATGAGATAGTTATTTACACAATTTTTTTTTTACGATTGGTGATTTTCCCATACAATTCTCTATATACACAAGCTGTTGCATACACCATGTTCTTTGAGCTTGCGAAGCCTGTGGGTGAACACGCACATTGCCGAATGTAAATTGATGACTTCCACTTGAATAATTTTTTCCTTTTCTTTAATTCCTGAGCCATATAATAAACAACTTCATAACCTTGACCGTTCGGTCGTTATGGGAAAATCTCAAACCTCGGCCTACTGTATTGACCTCACTATTGCTCGATCAATATGGCTAGGCCTCAGTTTGAGATTTTCCCGTAATGACTTCACTCTCAGTTATAAAGTAGTTGATATCAGTAGCCTCTAATGAATTATTTCAGTCAGTCTGGGTTTTAGTTTTGCTCGAACGCTCATCGCTCAATCGTCAATTGAACTCTTGAAGAAACAGCCGCTTGAAGGAGACTGCATCGTGCACAAATATAAGCTTACATTTACGTATAAAGAACCCACCACATCACTATTATTTTTAAATACATTTTTCTTATATTTTTACTGTAAGCTTAATTTTACATTGTAAGGTACTTAAGAATATTTTATAATTTTAGTGCTATATAAATCTTATCTTATTATTATTACAATATTATTATTATTATTATTATTATTATCACTGTACAAAAAAGGTAGGGAACAGAGTCCCCAGTGTTGTGGTCGGGTTTGTTCATATGGACTGATAGCTGCTGCTAGAGCTGGCTTAACAGACGGATGGCCGATCTCACCCCTGACTTAAATTGTAGAGCACATTTGAACACGCTATACTATTTACAATGTACAACTATCTATTAAGAGGTTCATTCTTTACTTGTATCAATAACAAAAATTTGCACAAACCTGCCATGTCTTTACAAGCTCTTTAATCTAAAAAAAAATATCAAACAACCAAATTGAATGGGACATTTTTATTCACTATGCTGTTTCTTGTCACATGATTTTGTTTCAAAATTCCGATAAGGTAAACGAGTATTTGAGTCCACGAGCATTGATCCTAGGTTTCGATGTATGACAATGGTATTGTGGGAAATGTCTGCCTAGTTTTGCAATAAGAAAAGTCTGCGTTAGGTTAAGTGGCCTATTCCACTGGACCTCCTCCCATGACTATAAATTTCTCCCCCTGGATGGAGTGCTGGTCCATAACAAGGTTACCCCCAGCATAACAGTTGCTGCGATTCATTTATACACTTGAGAGAGAAAGCCATGTGAAATTAAAGTGTCTTGCCCAAAACAATGTCAATGTTTTCAAGCGATATACAATTAATAACATTTCTCTCATGCATCAAGTTTGAAGTCTAAAGGCAAATTGGAATGCAAAGGTGGTACCGGAAAATTAAATGCTGGGGATTAACCCTGTGATGGACTAGCATCTCTTCCAGTGGGGAGTAGAAATACTCCTAGTAGCTTCATGCTATGGACACTGGGACAAGCTCTGGCAGAACAGACTTCTAGGCTAACGTAGACTTCACCTTCCTATGTCCCAACTAGAACAACAAATGTTCTCAGACTAGTACTTCCTTTTGTCAAAGTTAGAGAGAGAAAAAAGTCTCCATTTGTTTCAAGAAATTACAACATCACTAAAAGTTTGGGCATCTTGCGAAAAATGTTTTTGCGAAATTGATCCCCCCCCCCCTTTGCTGAAAAAAAAAAAATGCTGGTACGTCTATGAAGGTGTACTCTAGTGATTCATATACTTACTTTTTGTAAGTTAGCCTTTGAGTCAGGACATTTACGGAAGATTTCCCGAAGCAAACTAAAAAAACAAGGTAGGTCGTCCAATCCATCAGAAACCCTGTAAAGATTGAGGACAACAGGATATGATTGGTTATTTGGGAGAGGGGAACATATCTCCCTGTGGAGTGCATCTTACTGATGTCTTACTGCTGGGTTGTACATGTGTGTCTTATGTCTTACTGGGCTGTATATGTTTGTCTTACTGGATTGAATATGCATGCCTTACTCATGCCTTACTGGGGTGTACATATATGTCATAGTGGTCTGTACAAGTATATTTCTTACACTACACTGTGTGATTCAAGTGCTGACTCCTCACTGTTCACATTGTCACCCAGATATTTAACAACTTGTGCTTGTCTCTCTTGTTTCTGTTGAAGCTTCTGTTTCAACTTTTTTTTCACTTTGGCCTTCTTGTCCTTTTTCTTAGATACCTCAGCTGTATGCAAGAGAAAGAGACAGTTGGTCAGGCTGGTATGATGAGTGAAACTTCCCTAACTAACAGTTCGCGTACAGCAACATCTCAAGAGAAGAAGTGAAAAATTCCTTGTGTGGCAGTGCAATTTATTTTACATGTATGTGCAGGCATGCCTAGCTAAGAAAAAGGATACAGAATTGAATGACCATCAGCTTTGGTAAAATTAATTACATACAGGATTTTGATGATTTCTTTGACGGATTTGTCCTGAATATGATCTCTTGAAGAGACGTGAATCTTGTGTCTAGTTCAGGATGATCCTAAGAGATAAAAAGGTGCATGTAGCTATTTAATTATTAACAAGGAATATTCCAGTGCACTTAAATAAGAGCAGCAGTAATTCGTTTCTTAACAGCTGCAATTTGTCAACCAGGATCAAAAAAAAAAAAAAATAGGTACTCAATGTGCACATGGGTCTAAGCGGCCTAACGCAAAACCAAGTTGCCCACGAAAAATTCTCAAAGGAAGAGACGTCACTGCATGACTAACATATTTTCTATGAACCCCGGCTTACGAATTTGAGCTTCCAAGACAGAAAAATGGTGGCGAGACTGTAGGAATTTGACTACAATTCTGCCAAATGCATATTTTTGAAGGGGAGGCTCCATCCATACAATGTTGCATGCACATGCTCATATACAAAATGCTTGATAGAACATCCCACAAACGTTAGAGAACAAGGCAAAGGGCAAGAACATTTGGGTAAAGCAGAAAGCAAGTATGGATAATTGCGGGAATAAGGGAACACAGGCAAATGTTGAGGGGAACAAGGACCCTCAGTATGAGGGCATCTGCGTGCTTTACCTGTAATATAATATTTCATCTAAGGTCATTACCGGGTGCATTGAATAGAGAATGGCATAGCTCAGAGAATTCTCATATCCTGATTGGTGATCTAGGCGAGGTATTCAGCTTGGAATTGCGACTCTTGAAAGCAAGGCTTTGCGTGATATGGCACTGGAGCGACAATAAAACAACAACTCAAAAACAACTAGAAACAATGAACTTTTAATCATGTTTTTAAAACCATTGTTGCCGTCCGTGAAGCCAAACAAACACAAGTCTCCTTTTTCTGATTCTAGCTGGATTCCTATTGGCTGGCTTCTGACAGTCTTGACAGTTGATTCAACTGGAATGGCTTTTCTCTGGTGCACGTTGAATATTGCAACAGTCACACAGACTTAATGAAATGGGGTTTTCTTCATTTAAAAAGAGGCTATGGGATTCAAGGAAAATTCATAACCTGACTTGTATATTCCACATTAACTTTCACTTGAAAAACTGATATCGTACTCATCGCTTAGCGTTGAGTGTGATATCGGTTTCTCATGTAAAATTTAACAAGGAATTACCTCATCAGGTAATGAATTTCCCTGTAGGATTGGCCCCCGTGGAGTGTCGCTGGCTTATGGGTGACACGTGATGAGGGCAAAAATTAGTGTATGGTTTGTGAAAAGCAACTAGAAGACGTGTAAGGATTTTGTGAAAAAATATTGTCAAATTGATAAAAGCAGCTAGAAGTTTACATATGTGACACGTGAATTTTTTGAAATTCCATGTGACTACTATGTGAGCTTTGCTAACACATTGCTGTTGGCTGCTAACAATAGTTGCCAACTTAAGACATGAGAACTATTAACACACAGTGGACTCCGAACGTAGCGGGGTCTTCATTGCTTGATAGTCTCCTCATGAAGAAATGTTCTCCACCTTGCACCTTGGTTAGAAACTGTATTCATGTACCATATGATATACTTGCAGTCTTAAGCATGGGTATGCTAAGTGTTTTTACTTGGGAGTTCCTTCCTTATTCATGTTGGATAGGTTCAAGATGATGGACCCGAGGAGTGCTAAAACTGTGTTTCGTGTAGTACAACCTGGCGGGTATCACAGAACTCTCACCAGTATGCTGTGCAACTTTAACAGTTAAAATCATTCATAGTGTATCTTAGATGTCATTCCTAATGACTGTATCTGTTCTGCAGAGGGGAATGCGTCGCTAAAGAACAGCTTCCAACTATTTGTTTTGTTCGAAAAACGCATATCTTTCGCTGGCACGCTCTCAGGGTTTTGTTAGCTAACGGTTTGCTGTCCGTCCAAGGTTGAAATTTTCCTCCAGTTACTTCTCTTCAGTTTCATTGAACCAACCAGTCACTCTTCACCCGCCCAGGATAAGGAGAGAACAGGAGGAATCCGAGAGAAGTTTCACAGGGGGAGGCTCCAAGCCTCCCACCCGACGTCTAAACTTTGATTCACTATCTGTTGTTTTGACTGACAAGATAACTCTTTCATATACCATCCATAAAAAAGTGTTGCCCTTTAACATAACTGAAGTCTGCACAAGGCATCTCTTTTTCAGAAACTTACTACACCTTTTTCAGGTCAAGCCTCCCCATGTATAAGAGGGAGTTCTTCCGATCCCTGAGGGCTGGGCCAGGAAGTTAATTTTTTCCATCGCATTACAATGTCGCTACCATAATCTGAATTTTCACTCAGATTTCGTTTGACTTGCTATTGACATTCCAGTAGCTCAAGAATGACAGTGTCACCCTAAATCAGCCAATCGACTTTGTGGCGCCTACATTTTGTATAGCACTCATGCACACATGGGCCCATGTCATCATCTACATCAAGGGAACCGATAAATCTTTGCTCAGAGCGGATTAATTGTTTTCTTTCATGCTCTATTATCTGCGCAATCTTAAAACACGGAATTCAACCAATGCAATGAAAATTTGTGTCATGAACGCTCTGCTTCGCCAATCTGCTTCTTTGATTCAGTCCAGGATATCATGAACAGATCTTGACTTCCCAGTGACTTATACAAACTGTTTTTAAGCTGCCTGTTCAAGACACATTGTAAAAATGTACTAGCCCGTCAAAATGTGCAGTGAAAGTACGAGAAACCACCAGCACACTGCTGCCCTACTCCCAGCCCCCCCTCCCTCGTTCCAACCTCCACTACCTCCCCGCTACATTATGTTACTGTCACGTGCAACTTTCGCCCTCTGTTTTGCCAAAACTTAACTGCCGTGGTTCCCTGTCAGGAAAAACTCACTAAGGTAAGGAGTAATTTCTAAGCATCAAGTACATTATTTGATTGCTGCTTCCTTGATAATACTGCCGTTTCCTAAAAGTGAATTTTCATGTGTAATTCTGCAATCAACTTCAGCTAATCGTAACCGTCTAAATGCGAAGTGGCTCAAATTTCAAAAATACTCCAGCTGTTCTTATTATATTGTGGGTAGATGCCACCAAATTCAAAAGCCTAACTTCTTCTACTTGAGGATATGTTAGCAAAGCAGACAAAAGTAAAGAAACGTGTATTCCGACTAATGAAAGTCAAAGAGCTGCCGTGTGTTGATTTCCGAATGACATGAAAGGTCAAAGGGTCGCCCATTATTACTCAAGTGACCTGTTTTGAAAATATTCTCAGAATTTGCCGTTTTATTTACCCCATTTTTTTCTTCGCTTGATGTGTAGTTGAAATGACTGATCTTCCCTGGAGTGTAGTCTCGTTGGGTGAAGCCATGTACCAGAATGCTTTTTTGAGCCTTGAATTTCGTGTAGACGCGGGTAAAAATTGTGCTTGCATGACCCTCATTAATTGTAGTGTAAATTACGCGTAAAAAGCCTTTTCCCAAATTGAATTCTTTAAATGTTGTAAAACAAGAACAGGGCTATGCAAAAATGTATTTTTCCTTTACGATATCGGTGTACCAAGGTTTGAAAATTGCCTTCAAGAATGCCCTATTTTTATGTTGTTTTCATAGTGCAATAACTAGCAATTTGTGGGGGCTACTAACCTGACGTGAAAATGCATTTCTTGGCAATATTTTTACATCGTTGTGTTGTAGTTATGATACCAAACATACATGTAAAAGATCATCTTAATAGACCGAGCCATCTTTCTCTGAGACTGATGTGAATATGTCCAAATTTTTGGCTAAATTTATTGCACGGCAGCACGAAAACCGTAATTCTCCTTTTTGTTGGATTTCTCAAAATCAAAAACTCTCTGGCAAGTTTTAGTCTTATTTTCAAAAATAGTTCACCATAGGGTTTCTCCTGGCAAAATACGAAGAAATCCATGATTTCAGTTTTGAAAATCAATTCTCGATATTTACAGTCCCCTGGTCTTAAATTTGCAGCAGTTACCACATACACAAGAATCTTTTTAGGCTGACATGGTACTCAAAAGCTAACTGAAAGTGCTTTAACATTATGCATCGCCAAGAAAAGTTTTGAAGCACCTTAAATCTCACGGCAAACAATCTAAATATAAAAGCAGGATTATTAGCACAGAGTGCACTATTGGGATGGTTTAGGAGAGTGCTGTTCACTAAGGTACTAACACAATAAGGAGTAAACTTAATGTCTTTTTAATTAATTAATTTCAATTAATGAATTAGTCTTGCAGTAAGGGGGGGGGGTTGAGTGGGGTAGGTATCCGAGTGCATTGTGCAAAAGGTGTTATACTTACATTGCTTAATTTAAAACATGACAAAACTATATATATGTTATCGCAAATCTCATGCTATCCTTGTGAAAACATTTCCTGTTTAGGCTGGGGATAGCAGCTATATTTCAGGTGACGTCAGTTATCCCTTTTTTAGTGCAAAGACCCCTACTGTGACTGCGTGTCTTCTGGAATCATCCCTAGCTCGATTCAAGAAATTCTGTCTGCTGTTTTATAACTATTGTGTGTTTGCCAGGGTTCAAATAAAGAATGAAAACAAATTGCTTCTCCTTAGCAGCTTGTTTGTTTCCCCTTCTATGAGGGGAACAACAAAACGTTCCTTTACCGCATTAGTTACATATAAGACTATTAAATTTGTGGCAGAGGAAACTTTGTAATTATTGCTGTAGACTCCATGGCACTTACTGAAACCCCAATTAATTTGATCAGTCTTTGAGGTGACTCGCTCACCGATGCAGGATATACTTTCAGCCAAATAACGATCTCTACCTTCAATACTTCTCTTTGAAAAGCTCCTCTGTTGTATTAATCGAGAGCATTGTGTATTAGTTTGACGTGAACAAGAATGCACTATTCTGTGACTCGACATGACTATTTAATAATTGAAGGCTTTCGTGCAAATAGGGCATATATAGCATTTTGGGCCGATTCTTAATTTTTGCAGGATTGAGCTAATTTTTGGCAAACTGACTTGTTTTGACATGAAAAGCATTGTTGCAGAATTGTTTTTGCTGATTTGCGCTTCGTTTTCGAGAAATAACAGGTGCAAAAAACTCAGTTTTCCAAGGGTATCTTTTGGAGATCTTTTGTTGAGAGAAAAACAAAAGAAACCTTTTGTTTTGCTAAACGATGAAGTCACCAAAGTGTGGTATTTGCTGCTAGTTTTATTATTCATATAATTACACAATTCCCTTACTGTTGCTTCATTGGCGCAAGCGAATAAGGCACTGAACGGGCCGGATTCGAGTTTGTTTTGTTGTCCGGTTCGATACGAGGTTGGTCGATGTTCTTTTTCCGGTCTATTTCTCTACTTCTTTCAAAAATCAAAACATCTATTTAAAAAAAAAAAACGTGCTGTCGAAGCTGCTAAAACTAACCGTTAAAGTTTGCACTGCGTCAAAATCCACCTTCAAAGGATTCACTCCAAAAGATGCCACTTGGAAAGCTGAGTTTTTTTGCATACGTTATTTCTCGAAAACGAAGCACAAATCAACAAAAACAATTATGCAACAATGCTTTTCATGTCAAAACAAGTCAGTGTGCCAAAAATTAGCTCGATCCTGCAAAAAATAAAAATCGGCCCAAAATGCTATATATGCCCTTTTTGCACAAAAGCCTTCAATTAGGTTCCTCTTCGACTTTTCATCAGATATTTAACTTTATTCCAGTTATCTCTAGCAGTGAGTAATAAAAAATACACATCTATTTTTATATTTTCGAGGTAACAAGGGTATCATGTTGCATACCTTGGCGAGGAGAACAAACGTATCAGGTTACAAACGTTGGCATGAGAAGAAGTAAAATTGTCACATGTGCTACTTCTACATATTATTGAATTTAAAATGAATGAAACTCAAAGTAGAACACTGATAAAATTCAAAACTGTCTTGACAAACAGTAATTTTAAGTTATTTTTGGGCAGATTGTCTCACTAGTTTTTAGAGGAGTTGGCTGAAATAATTCTCACCTCCTAAAAGTAATGCAAGGTAGAAGGCAGGCATATACATTAAAACACACTGTCAGTAAACAATACCTCATTTGCTAATCTTCGTTTCCTATGTATTTGTATCATCTTCTGGAAGTCATCTTCGGTCACCACATTAGGTGATGGCATTCGGTGCACTGCAGGCGAGGGATAGGGAAAGCCATGGTAACCTGCAGCAAATGGCAGTGCTGCTCCCAACATTGGATGAAAGCCACTAAGCACACCTGGCAGCATGTGAAAGGGTGTCATAAATAAACCCATAGCTGAACCAAATGATCCTGCAGCTGGGAAAAAAAGTGCAACAAAGTATCTAAGCAAACAGTTTTCTATACTGCTCCTTTTGAGACTACAAGTTTCTTCGAAGCAGAAGCAAAAATATGACTGAATGAAGAAATTAAAAGTGAATTACAACTTTTGGTACTGCAGGTGACTATATGAAAGATCACACTTGAACAGCGGAGAAAGATGTAAAGACACAAATGATCATCAAAGTTATATACACAACTTAATAAGCAGCTGCAAAAATAAAACCTGAAAAAAATCAGGCTTGAATAGGATTTGAACCCGTGATCCCTTTGTGACATTGGTGCAGTGCTCTACCAAGCTATTACTATCAAGCCCACTGGGAGCTGGTGTTGTGAGTTCGTAACATACCCATAGACATTGAAGAATGCAAGTGAGGAATCAGTATATGAAAGATCATATACTTGAACTGCAGAAAAAGGTGTGAAGACAAGAATGATCATCACAGTTATGTACCCAACTTAAGCAGTTGTGAAAGCCTGAAAAAAATTAGGCTTGAATGGGATTCGTGCCCATGATACCAGTGCAATGCTCTACCAATTGAGCTATGAAGCCACCTGGGAGCTAGTCACATTGTAAGTTTGCAGTATACCCATAGATGGTGAAGAATGCAGCAAATATAAAACAGATCACATGTTTGAACTGCAAAGATGGATGTAAGTACATGCACGAGTTTAAATGGACACTACCACTGCCCATCTAAACACTGAGTGGACAGATCTAGAGTCATTGTGAGACTAAAGTGTGTAGCCAAAGAAAATAAAAATAAAGAAAATAAAGTTGTTGTTGTTATAAAGAATGCAACACAGTGCTGTCAACCAGTTGCAGGGCTTGAGACTGAACTGTTTGATTCAGAATCCAGCATATTCATGATTTGGCCTTCACGTTGCCACTAAATATCTATGAACAAGGGAACAAATAGCAATATAAACGTAGGAGTACTTAATTTGGTTGACCATAATACTAATATATAGATTTAGCCAAGCCTAAAACCAAAGCTCCTGGGCCAGGTTGTTCAAAGCCTGACTAAGCTATAACCCAGAATGAGTGAGAATTTTGCCCTTCTGAGTTTGAATAATCTCAAACTACACAAAACAAAAGCAGTGAAAAACATTTTTATACAAGAAAATTTATACTTTGGTTAACTTTTAATCCTGGGTTAGTGTTAACCGACTCAATTCCAAACAACCCAGCCCTGATTACTTAAAGGAGAAGTTCACTCCAATCAAAGCGGCTATGAGCCACTCAACTTGGAAAATGGATCATCTGCAAACAGTGAACATTTTGATACCACTGACTTGAGGTTTTAATCCATAGGTTAAGTTAAAGTTAAAGCCCACCACCAAAACGCAATGCTAAGAGAATGCACGAGGAGATGTAACACCGTTGAAAACAATCATGAAGTTATTTTATGGCTTCTTGTCCGATCAGCAAAGCCAGTATAACTGGATTCTCATTTTCATTCCTAGTTTTTTCATTCTTTATTTTCCCAGGCGATATCAGTGATTTTTTTCTTTCTTTGTCACCTTTTGAGAGATCTTAAAAATAATAATGAAAAAAATTATCCAACTCAGAGTCATAGTACCACAAGGACACAAGCGTGTCATGTCTGCTCAACAAAGTTACATGTAAGCCCTGTTTGGCGGGGTTCCTCCTTGGATGGGTGACCAAATACGAATACCCCGTGTTGTAATTAACTCCTTTTTTTTTCTTTTTTCTTTTTTTCCTTCTTTGTGACTGTTAAACTCCCAGTCTTGTGTAATGCCTTTTTTTCTACTTACGGTAACAACTGTTTTGTTCAAATCATTTTGCCATGTCCGTATTCATCTTTGAATGAATGAATGATGAATGAAAACTTTATTGACGTGTCAAAGAAGTCTAGCCGAGGGTAAAAACCCTCTACTAATAGGAGGCACTTAAAATAAATAAAAGTATTTATTTAAAATACTGTACAAATAATAGCGAAATGTGTCGTTTGAATTCTCCTCAATTCTCTTGTCTGTTGGTCGTCCAAAACTTTTAATCACAGCATACAGTTCATCAATTTTGTGATTTTCAATATCTCCTCAGTTTTTGGCAATTGAGTACGGTTAAACCTGTATAAGCCGACACCTTCAGGAAATGAGCTATTTATTTAATTAGCTTCTATATATAAAAATGTTCGTCCAAAAATCTATTCAATGTAGATCATTTCTGCAGTAAGATATTGAGTACTTGCGTCAGAAATTCAAAGAATAACTAACTTGATGTAGTGCCATTGACTGTCAAACGGCCTTGGAGAGTGCGATGTTCTTAACCCAGGGGGACTCCTATATGAAAAGGTTGGGGATGCTCGTCATCTCAAGAGCAAATCTAGGTATCCTTTAGGGTGCACTCAAAGAAATAACAATAAAAGAAACGTTCTTATTTTGTTTTCCGCTGATCTCTCGAGCACGCCAGTTGGGTCTACAAGTGTAATCGAACCTATTCCGTTTAAGTGGTATCTTTTTGGCGTCTAATGAAGCTCAAGCAACACCCACAATAGTCTTCTTAAGGAGTTAAATTCAAATTTTCCGATGAGCATCTCTGACCTTCTCATATTGGAGTTCCCCCCCCCTCCCTAAGGATTCCAAATGTCTAACAGGAAGTGAAGGAGTGAAGGAGTGAAGGGTGAAGAAGTGATGGAGTTAAATCGTCCCACCACTAAGTTAAAAAATGTATATTTTTTGTCTACGCTAATAAAAACCTTGCACTAAGTTTAGCTACTCACGAAAGCTTTGGCCTCTAAGGTGCAGGTTTCCCTCATGAAATTCATCTCCAAAGAAGCCCAAAACTTGAAATTGTTGCCGCCGTTTTGAAGAGCACTCAACAGCCAGGCCACGTTTTTGTGAAGTCATTCTGTCCAAGAGATTTTGTCCGAATGGCTTTTGACAAGCCTTTTATCTACCACTCTGGGTTATGACTGCTCTTCTTGAGCCGTGTTATTTTGAGCCAAGTATGCTCCAAACATCGAAAATGATAGCAAAGAAGATAGTGAAAAGGATAATCCCTTGGACAAAATATATTTTTCTAGACTTGTGAAGGATGCAAAGTCAGTTGCAGGTTTTTCTCCCTCCCACCAATTTCAAGTCCAGTGGAATGATGTCACATAAACACAGCCTGGCTGTCAAGTACAGTTTCAAAATGGCGGCCCCCAAAGTTGCTTCCTTCGAGATGAATTTCTTCAACGTGCACGTGTGCATGTGTACGCATGACAACAAAGGCACTTCAGAGGCTGAAACTTTGGTGAGTGGAAAAGCTGAATGTTCACTTACTGAAGACGAAGACAAAAAAGTAAGCGTTTTTGAGTGACCTTCTCCTTAACAATTATTCGCCAAAGGTGAAGTAAACATTGGTGAATATTCACCATGTTCACTGAGCCTGAGGCCAATAATTTTTTTAGTATAATTTTCAGAGGTGAATATCAAGGACTACAAATAATGGACTAATTTGTTATGAACGATTTGTTACAAACATTGTTAGCAGAGCTCTGGCCGCCCAAAGGGCCGCCAAGCGAAGCCCCATACTCATTGAAACCCATGAATCGCTTTTCTTACGCTAAAAATGGCTAGCGGTATTACTTGTGGGTGTGTATGCACAACAACGACAGGGACGACGACATCACACAACATGGTGGCCATACATTGTACTCCAGCTACTAAGACTCTGATATTGGACATCCATTTTATGGTCAATTGACACCTGTCAAAACAAGGTATCCGCTGACCAGTATCAGGTGGCCATATTGCGGGTTCAAGTTTTGAGGTCACGTGGTTTTTTAAAGTTAACTGCTGACCAAGTATCGGCTTTTTTATTTGATCGCGGGCTCAAACCAGGTTAACTTACTGTAATCAGCACCAGGTTTGTTTGGAACTGAGCCGGTTAACACCAACTCAGGATTAAAAGTTAACTGAAGTATAATTTGTTCTTGTATAAAAAATGTTTTTCACTGCTTATGCTTAGTGTAGTTTGGGATAATTCAAACTCAGAAGGCCAAACAATATAAGCAGAAAAGTTCACTGCCAAGTTAAAAAAAACCCTCAAAATTCTCACTTATCCTGGGTTAGCTTAATCAAGCTTTGAACAGCTCAGCCCAGGAGCTCCGCTTTTAGGCTTGGCTAAATCAATACATGATTCAATTAAACATTGATTGGAACTGAACGTAAATAATTACTTGACCTTTAACTGATTTTAGTAATCAAACACATGATTCTTGCATAAACATTAGTTTTCATTCTCAAGTAGCTTAGTAGTATTGTACACGCAGTCAGCAGGGAAGTATGTTTTGTACAGTGACAGTTTTAATTAAAGTACAGTAATCAGCTTACGAACAGTACAGCCAGTGTTTTACAGCAGTTGTAGCCTTTTTGACCAAGCGAGGTTTTATCCTTCAGGTACGATCGTCTTATCTATTGCATGATTTTTTTGTTTTCAAGTTCTTTCTAGCCGTTTCAATGTGTAATGTAATGGGAAATCTACTTTGCTATACGCCCCAAATATGATGGGAATGCAGTCTAATAAATCGTTCATTTGTACTTTGAATTTCAGAATTGCTTCTATTAGTAATAGTAATTGGACCGAGTGAGTACAATTCAGGGAGTAATGAAGCGAGTAATTTTAAAATCGAAGAAGCGCAAAGCACGAAGCCGATTTGAAATTACGAGCACGATTACTCCCTGAATTGTACGACACAAGGTCCAATTACTAATTAATTGCATCTATAACAAATTTTGGAATTAAAAATGTCTTTGAAAGCTTCTTTTGAGCAAAAAACTTTGTAGCGCTTTTGGAAACATTGAGAAGGAAGTAATTGACGTGTGAATCACGTGGGTGTCCAATTATACAGTACAGCCCAAAAATAATGCACGCGCAAGAAGTGGCACAAGAAGTTCTTACACCACAAGAACATGCAAGCCACCACAAGAAGTAAAAATGTCTTGTTTTTTGTGGTTTACCCGCAAGAACATTCAAAACGTAAGAAATTGAAAGTCTAACCGCAAGAAGTTGAAAATCTTACCACAAGAAGCCACAAGAACTTATTAATCTTACCACAAGCCGCAAGAAAGCACAAGAAGTTGCTGCAGGTCAAACTGTCTGTTCATTTATATTTAAGTGCCATGTTGGTGGTCGAAATGCTCAGCGCTTGCTCGCAATGTTATCCATAAGATAAGCCACTGCAGTGGGAAGAGATAATTTCGAACAGCTGAGACCAGATCTGGAATTATGTTTGCTTATACTGTGAAAATAACATCAAACGCACGCATGTTCATGACACCTACAGAAAAAAAGACCTTTGATCATTTGAACAGTCTGCTAGCAGAATACGAGACTATCACAAAACATGCCCAAATAATGAAGCTCATGAAGAAACAGTCCATGTAGAAAATTCGAACTATGGTGTAGTTAGCCCGGGTTCTACCGGTTTTTGCTTCTGAAGGCCAAATTCATTCTCATTCAGAAGTGTCGTTTTCTTCTTCTTGGGTGGTCTGTGAGCAGAGACGACTTTCATTCAAATCTCACATTGAACTGCAAAGAATCTGAAGACTGCAGGTGCAAACAAATGAGACACTACAATGTTATGAATTTCTTTAGGAACTTTTCACAGAGTTATTATTACAGGTGAAAAGGTCCTGTGGAAAATATATTTTGTGTTTCTAAACAAACGGTTAACAAGGAAACTCGCAAATTCTACCCTGTTTGCAATGCTGTAAAACATTACCAGTGTGTTGTGAGAAGCACATAAAATGATTTTCTGAACACCAAAATCTCATGGGTTTGCCTTGTGAATTCCTCTTATTGCGAAGAGAATCCCATTGAATAAAAAGACAACATGAACGTTTCATAATTTCGAATTAAGTTCGGCTCATGAAAAGTTCATTGTCTGAACTGAGCTTTAGAGTTTAAATTGTCAAGAATTTGTTGCTATAATACACTGTACTTCTTACAGTTAGAGCCGGCGCTGGAAAAATATAAATTCGACCTTGGCGAGTACCGTCTTGATACAAATCTTCGTGTGCTAAGATGATAGAGCAAAGAAGTTCTTGCCGTTTGAAAATCCTACCGCAAAGAAGTTCTTGCGTTTCGAGAATCCTGCCGCAAAGAAGTTCTTGCGGTTTTAACTTCTAACCGCAAAGAAGTTCTTGTGTCTTGCAGGATCCAAGCGCAAGCAAGCCGCAAGAAGCTGCAAGAAGTTGTTGGTTTGCGGATGCAAAAAGAAGCTCTTGTGTAAGCATTATTTTGGGGCTGTACTGTAGGTATCCAATTACAAAAAGTTAGAATTGGATACCTGTAATTGGACACCCGATTACGTGACAAATAGGTGCATGGAACCAATCATGATTGAGAACTTTGCATTAGACACGATTAAAGCTATTAAAAGGATTTCCTTGGCTTGCTCATTGTCTGCTGGGTTCTTACCATGTATGCAGCCATACATGCATGTACATCGACTGTGAATCAATTTACTCATCAACTTTGGGAGTAACACAAAGAAGCAAAACACTACAAAAAATTAATTCATCCAGTACCTTTGTTTTTTCATTGTTGACTTCAATCACAGTTGTCATCATCGTCTAAAAATGAGTAGTTTAAGTTTGAAGAAAAATATATTTCAGTCAATTGATCAGACCTGCTGGCGATCAACGTAACGATCAACGTAATTCTTAAATGCCTTTTTGGTCCAAGGGTGACAACAGCCATTTTGAAAATTCTCCATCCTTTCAAATATCCTGGACTTGAAGTGATGTCTTTCAAATAAATGAACATTTCATTCAGCAACTGTCCACCACATTTACTTGCCAAGAGGGTAAAGGTGGCAAACTTAGTATCCAAGCTCAGAAATGTTGTATTCACTGCCTAGCATGGTGAATATAGCATCATTCATAAGCTGAGCTTTTCGACCAATCAGAATGTCCAATTCTTATATTCACTTCTGGAAATTATACTAAAGTAAGTTAACCTGGTTAGAGCCTGCGATACAATCGAAAAGCCGGTACTTGGTCAGCGGTTAACTTAAGAACATGTGACCTTGATGAGCTCAAAACTTGAGCCTGCAATATGGTCACGTGATATTGGTCAGCAGATACCTTGTTTTGACAGGCGTCAATTGACCATAAAATGGATGTTCAAAATCAAAGTTGTACGCTGTAAACTAAGGCCACATGTCCTATTAGCTGGAGAATGGCTGCCATTGGCTGCCATGGTATTGTCATGCATACGTGCCCACAAGCAATACCGAGGGCCATTCTTACCACGAGAAAAGCAATTAACAGGTTTCTAACAGTGGGACTCCACTTGGCGGCCCTTTAGGCTGCCAGAACTCCACTATTAACTTCATTGTTGTAAACATAATGGACACCTAATTTCAAAAACTGTAGCTGTCAAGTTACTGGATGCAAATCACCAATGATAAAAAGCCTAATACTCAGGGTACTCAGAACAACTCAGGAAACCAAGATATCATAGATACCTACCAACACTTCCTTCTTCATCATCAGAGGAAACATTTCCTTCCTGAAAATACAAAAAAATGACTGGAAGAATTGGTCTGTTAGTTTTGTCATTCTGATACAATTGAATGGCTTGGTGCAAGACTGACGTAAGTGACTTTTTCAGGTGAAAAATGATTTTTTTGTTCAAAAGTGCCCAAATTTTTGCGTGTCATCTTCAATTGAGTAGAAGAGCATAGCCCTGTACATTTTTTAGCTGGTTTGCGCTTTGTCTTCGCAAAAAAAAGAAAAAGAAACATTAGGACAATGGTGACTTCAAAACAATAACACAGGGCCGCAAAACGAAATGGATGAACATGGGCCTTAAAGAAAGATGAGCCTATAACTTGACAGTTACAGTAAAGGTAACATAACCCCACAGCTAACCCTAACCCTAAAAACAAACCCTAACCGTTGGCCTAGGGTTAGCGTTTAGTGTTAGGGTTACCGTTTTAGCACTAGGGTTTAGGGTTAAGGCTAGGGCTAGGGCTAGGGCTAGGGCTTAGGGTTAGAGTCTCTAAACACTTTGTGCTAGGGTTAGTTCTATTTTGGTGCTAGCCTAGGGAAAATAACAAAACAAGAAAACACTTCATGTCATAAACACAGCATGATCGTGAATCTAAATAAAGTCAACAACCAGTTTCTATTAGCGGTGGTTACCTATCTTCCGAGAGTGAAACGTTTTGCAATCAGTGAAAACATGAAACTCGTTTAGAACAAAAAAGAGTTTGGTTGCCATTCTTTCAAAAAAAAAGTGAAAATCACTAGCGCAATGCGACATTTCATAGGTGCTACTGTGATGATGTAAAACGTTTTGAAATGCCATGTGCTATAACAGCCCAGCTTGCCATTGCTTTGACTGCGTGACGAACAACAAATACCTTATAAAACATATTTCGTGAAATGTTGCCACAAGGAATTAACGCTTGACATTTGAAGAAAGACGATTTTTCCGAATTACAGTACTAGAACGGGTGAGTCAATCTGAAATTGCTCTGTCTCCGTGATAATTAAATACCATGTATATTTGTGAAAACACTGAACTGAATCTAAGCAGGAAAACCGCAAACAAACGGAAAATATATCGCAAAAGGAATGGCATATTTAAAGAAAAAAGACTTACACTGTTCTCTTTCTCTCACCATCTTCTAACCTCACAAACGAATCATTCCATTGGGANGAAAACAAACGGAAAATATATAGCAAAAGGAATGGCATATTTAAAGAAAAAAGACTTCCACTGTTGTCTCTTTCTCTCGCCATCTTCTAACCTCACAAACGAATCATTCCATTGGGATTCCATGATAATAAAGGCAAGCGATCGAAAGCCGCTAGTCCATAATATGATTGGCGTTTGTTTGCCCCAGTTCCCGAAAGGTCAACTGTCACACTGTAACACAACAATGGTCAACAATCGCGACTTTGGATCAATCATTTCTCTTAGATGAAAACATTGGCCATTTATTCCTGGAAAGAATCGGGGCTTAGGGCTATTTTTGTCTAAATGAAGTAACATTACTTTTCTCAGTGAAAAAATATCTTTTCCGTCGATTCTGTTTCAATTAATATTCCGTTGGCTAAGCGAAATGTAAGTTTGTGACGTTTTCCATTGCCGACTGAGATCGACTGACAAAACCTATCGAGAGGCATTAAAGATTATTATGGGATATCCCTGAGCAACTTCAACACGGCAAGGCCTACGGGCTGACTAAACAGATTTTTTAAGAGTCTAAAAGCACTTCTTTATTTCCAAACATTCTGCACAGCAACATTTGGCAAATGGGCGACTTCTCGCCATCGACTCGTCTTTTTGCATGAGAAGTGCTTTCAAACTCCTCGCCTGGCTTCAGTGTGCCTTCGATCGCTTAGCGATCTTGGAACAGGAACACATCTCGCTTGAGATATGCTAGTGACTTNTTACTTTGAACCAAAAATCCAAATTTGAAGAAAATTGCCGATCTGAAGGTATACTGTAACCTTAAGACGCTTACTGTCTGATCTGGAAGCATAAACAACATACATTTGCGACATTTGGTCAGATCAAGTAAGTTGCTGGGTGAACAATGAGTCCTTCCTCAAGCATTTGAAATGCTTGTTCAGGTTTAAATATTTCAAATCGAAGCAATGCGAAAATAAATTAAGTTCAAAACATCGAAATCCAAGTTTATAATAACTAAACAAGAGCAGTTATTCCGATGGTTCTTTATTAAATATACACCTTCAAATTTTCTTTGAACACATGCAGTCCTGCCACCTAACATGCACTACAAAAAAAAAGTGAATGTGTTGTGCTATGTTCTAAAGGCAGCAAAATACGAGAAACAAAAACCTGTCTCATATATCGCCGCTTAAAGGCGGCAACGATATGTTGGATACAAAAACTCTCAACTTGGCTGATGTTTTGAGTTTTTCACCTTGTGCAATCAACTTTGTTGCTGCGAATAGTAGAGAGTGGGTCTACTTTGAGCAACAAATTTTGGCTTTGCTGCTCGTTCATCAAACTCACAACTTGTCACGCATATAATTTGCTCACATTTCGCGAAAAATTGAGGGTCTGTGTATCTCATGAAACAGTCTCAAAGCTTACTGCATGAAGCCTTCCAAGTTGCAACAAAATCAACCTTGAATTCAGATAAAAATAACAGGAGCTACCATTGGCTACAATGTACAGGGGTAATTACCTGTTGCCAATAACAACTTGCATCACAATTTGCTACTACCATGAAGAAAAAAAACAAAACAAAAAACACAAAGCAACCCAATTTCTAACGCGGATTGCTTCGCATCCGCGTAATGATATAAACTTCACCCTGAACTTTATCAAAAAGTAGATACTGTACAACAAAAATAAGTTTCGTCACAGACATTACGTAACGTCCCTGACATTTTAACAATCTTTTTTCTTTCCTAAAATAACTGCATGAAAGATTTTAAAAACATTCTTGTCACACAGCTAGATATCCAGTAGAAACACTTTGGTAAAAAGAAATCTCTGGTAAACTACAGAATTTTCCAAATGATGGCAGCAAAACATTGTTCTGGACGTTACATCACGGACATTACACTTCTGGAAGTTGAAATGGTTCTTAAAAGCCAAACCATTACACCACAAGACTAATCTCCTCCTATATTTGTTCTAGTTTCACCTAACAAACATTTTGACAAACACAGCAGCTTTCAAAGGGTTGTAAACTACTCTGAAATTTCAACAATAGAAGAGGCTCTGACATTCTGATGAACATACCTGTAGTCACACTCATTTCTAGCTGTTCTTAAACCCTTTTACGTTTCCTATTACTTCCAAGTGTTTTTTTCCACAGCTCAGTTACTCTCAACTGGCGCCTGTTTTATGAAGCTCGATTTGGCGTAGAAATTTTTGTAGAGCTCTACGACTCTACGCTTTTGTCACCAGTCTCCTCCTATGTGTTGGAAAGATACATTACCTCCTACTTCATAGCTTTTACCATAGTTGCGTATTGTTACTATGGTTACCTGGCCATTTCATAACATTTGATTTAAATTTGTAGCATATTCCTCGCATATATCTCATATATATTAAAGTGTTATTCAAGTGTTATTACGGTTTACAGTGTTTTAATCGTTTTAATTTAAAATTCTGTATTGAGTTTACCCTCTACCATCTACGCCCTATGCTCTATGCTTCTATGTACGGGTGTAGAGGCTTACAGTTATTGTAGCAAATATTAAAGCACATGGGTAATGTTTAGTGTTATTACGGTTTACAGTTTATTAATAATCTTTTTAAAGTACAATTCTGAATTGAGTTAACCCTCTACGCCCTACCCTCTACGTTCTACCACCTACATTCTACTCTCTACGTTCCACCAGCTACTCTCTTCAATCTATGCTCTATGCTCTACGTTCTGCCAGCTACTCTCTTCAATCTACGCACTACACTCACCAATCTACCATCCACCCTCTAAGCCCATCTATGCTCTACTCTCTATGTTCTACCAGTTACTCTCTTCGATCTACACTCTACGCTCTATGATCTACCCTCTGAGCCCATCTGCTTGGAAGGTTATTGGAATTTTTTAATATTTTTTTTTAATTTTTTAATTTTTTAACGAAGACTAGTGAGCAGCACAAAGAAAGACTTCTTGTAGTTGTGAGCTTTTTCGTTTATTTCCGACGTGTTTCATCTCTGTATGAGACTTCTTCAGGGAATGATTTAAGCGTGCCTAATTTTAACCTCCTATGGAAGTGAATAACTGCTGAAACATGCTGTAAACGGACGTTATAAGAAATGCCTCAATGCACATGTTATTGCATATTGTTATATTTTGGGGGCTATACAATTAGCGCTAACCATATGGCCCCTAAAATATAAAAAAAAAGTTAAAAAACAAAAAAAAATTAAAATTAAAACATTAGAAAAGACATTTTTTTGTTTGGAAGGGTCCCAAAGAAATCCTACTAGAGTGTAAAAATGATCGTATCAAACATACGTACTATGTTATTGACGAAAGTGGTATTTTGTTTCTTGATTTATTTCTTTACAAAGATGCTAATTTTAGCAATCTGCAGTTTTCTACCTATCAAAAGCCATTTAATAAGTATCTGTACATTCCCTTTAAGTTGTTTCATCCCACAAGCAACAAGGGGGCCTTTATTAGACATGAGCTTATGTGCTATACTAGAAATAGCTCCACTTTTAAAGCCTTTAGCAACATTCGAGAAATTCTGGGAGCGCCTCCGGCTTTGTGGCTTTTTACTTCGTTCATTCAGGGAGGTTAAATACAGTAACAGAACTAAATGGCTTTCGCTAAAACATAAATCACGCAAGTAGAATAGCAGTCTTTAAATCTACATTTAACTGTAGTCATGCTAACTGATGTGAAGGACATTTTGTTATAGTGTACTCAAAAAGTGCAAATACTTAGGTCACATGACTTTGAACGCTTAGTGGAGGTTTNTTCATCCCACAAGCAACAAGGGGGCCTTTATTAGACGTGAGCTTATGTGCTATACTAGAAATAGCTCCACTTTTAAAGCCTTTAGCAA